CTCTCTACCTTTCTCCTGCTCTGTCCCTTTCTCTCTCTCCATCTCTCTCCTGTCTTCTCCCACCCTGTCGCCTTCTCTCTCTCCATCTCTCTCCTGCCCCGTCCCCGGTCATCTCCGCTGCCCTCGATTCCCACACCCGCGTCTCCGGTTTCAGCCGCTCATGTACACACGGCTGTCCAGCAGAGTCCTGCCTTTATGATCAGTCTCCTGAGTCATTTTCGTAAAAGGCGCCGTTCAGTTCCTGATGTCTCCTCTGGATTTTTAGGATAATTTACATAAATGCCTCTCTAATTGTTCTGAACTAAGAATAGGGGGTTCAGGTGTTGCCAAAAATGAGAAAAGCTGGGAACATTGTTGGCAAAGGAGATGGTACAATGCTGTCTCATTATCGAAAGCCCCAGTCCAAGGCCAGATACTTCCTATCACCATTTTAAGATTCACACGGCAGCATTGGTTGTTTTTATATACCTAATATAAACCTGCCCAGTTTTAGCAATGATTTCATCAGTAATTACATGTTTGTCAAATGCAAATACCCGACTATATGATGTGCTGTTTATGTTTGTTCATGCTCATAAATACTAAGAAGAATAATGTATAAGCAAAGTATGGATTCTGGTCGTTCATGTTCAGTTTTAACACCTGGATAATGCTGAGGGTTTCCACACTGTTACCCTCATAAACTGTCTTTCCAGCATGATGCCAAACTCCGTATTTCTCTAACTCGTCCTTCTTTGTTCTGTCTCCCCCTCCCTCGCTTTCTTCCTCCCCCAGGACCCCCCTGTCCTTCCTGTGGGCCAGTTCAGTGAGACGTTTGTTCACTTCATCACACAGTGGTGAGATGGCTTCTGCGGCTGCCGCCCCATGCTATCGACAGCCCCGGTGCCCACTATCGTGTTCTCCTGCTTTCTGGTCCGGCTCCTGTGGTCGTGTGTCAGATGCTTTATTTGCACTCTTAGAGTTAAACCCACCTATCAGATTATCCAAGGCCTAGTAATGACTGTGCGTGTATTTTGTGTCCCTACGGTCGCCTGTGTAGGAGTTACAGCAGGAAAACTGACAGTACAAATTAAAAGGTTGATGCGTCATTCAGCCATATTTTCAGAGATTTCTCATAAATTGTTGTCCACTCTGAGGTATAATCTGAAGCGCCTTCCTAACAAGGACACAGGACATTAGCCTGCTGGGACCTTTTCCGCAATAATTTGACTCTGATTTGTGTCTGTGCAGCGGAGAGCTACAAAGAAGTAAAAATATTTACTCTCCTTTTCTGCCCGGTCTGTTGGCCTCTGCTTGGGTACACATGCTGCATGCCACAGCCCTCACCACCCACCAGCTGCCAAATTTGGGTCCTTTCCCTCCCGGGGTCTCCCTTCCAGAACCTCCAGGGGACCCTGGGAGCCTCCAGATGTGTTTGTGGGGTGGGGGGCCAGCTGCACCAGCCAGCTGCTGTTTACTCTCCCTCAGCCTTATTTACACAAACAGGTCACCTGGCGCAGGAGAGAGGCTGGGCTCGTTCCGGCAAGGAGAGCCCCGCCGCTGCCCCGCCCACCACCCGGCTATTTTTAGCCAAATGGCGAGCGCGCATAATTCATCACGCCACAAACCGGTTACCTCCAAATGTTTCCTTCTCCCTCTAATCCTTCACCTCCCTTATCTAGGTCAAAATGACAAATCTGCACATGCTTAGGTGATCTAGGCCAAGCGAAGCCCAATAACAGCCAATTAGTCATTAACTAAATGCCACGCTGATTAAAAAGACCATCATGTGGTGATATTAAAATTATCCGTTTTATAAAATATGCTGTGTGCTCTGTTGCCATAATAGTGCCACAATACAACAAACTGCACGACAGGCTATAAAACAAACGAAACAACCATGCACAGTAGAAACTCAACAAGACCGCAACAAAACAAACTATACATGAGACTACAGAACCAACAGAAGGTACAAGCCATACAACAAAGCAAGGTATATAACAGACAACAGTCCCAAAGGTCATACAACAAACCAGCAAGCCAAATGTAAACGAAGGCAAAAGCTAGTCAGAGGCAGAACTCCTGCACCAGCATGCAGAAATCATGCCTCAAAACACACCAGCCTTACACTACAGCCAGGCAGAGTCATGTTGTTCGCAGTCTGCATGTTTTTGAATCTGAATGTTCAGCAATGTTTGCTGTAGTGATTGTAATACAGTGAGTATGGGGCTTCCGGAAAATGTCTGAGTCTGTATGCAGGTAGTGTTCAGGTAACTAGACACTCCCTGTGTTATGAGTTAAATTAATACTCCCTTTATTATTTTGGCACCTCAGAAACAGATTACAATGGACATAACATGCATATTAGCACAATGTAAACCCGCTGCGGCTGATGTTGGGCTGAACGCTTCTTCCTTTCCTTGCAGCATGAGAAAGCAGCCCAAAGAGCGACCAGCACCCAACAACCTCATGGTGAGTCACCCGGGCCTCCGCCCAGCCACCGCCCCCCCAGCCTCCGCCCAGCCGCCGCCCCCGGGCCTCCGCCCAGCCGCCGCCCCCCCGGCCTCCGCATAGCCGCCGCCCCCCCGG